TCTATTATTTTGAGAAAAAGGCCAAAATGTAAATTTTAAAAACAATTTTAAAAGATTATTTTAAAATGGTAATTGAATATTGTCATATTGTTGTTGAAATATTTTAAAAATATTAATTTTTAGATTGCCATTGAAGTAATTATTTAAAAAAATATTCAAAGATGCCGTGGAATACAAAAATTCCTCCGAAAGAATTTTGATTAGATGAGTATTAAAATTTCCGCTGAGTAATTATCTTTTTAGTAATACAGTGGAATCCTAATATAAGATAAGAAAAATGTTTCTAAATAAATTATATATGTATATAAAAACACGATGTGTAACCGTATATATTTTCCTCGTATTAATCTTTGTAGATAGGATACGTTATATATTACAGCACGTTTCCAGATTTCGATAATGGATCTGGAATAGATAGTACTACCGGTTGACAGTGAAAACTCGTTGCGTGCAAGAAATATAAGTTTATAGCAACAGGTTCGGGTTCAGGAAACCCACCCCATTAATGAAAGGCGTTGCACTCGCGTGTAGGTGCAACGCACGAAGAAGATACGACTGATTGGAATCCAACCAGTCGGAGAATTTTTTCCTTTCTTTCTTTGTTTTTTTTTTTTTTTCCACAGGCATCGCATGTGATTTTTCTTTCTACACAGAGAACATTATTTTTATGGAAATATAAACGAGCGGGCAAAGGAAATACGTACAAATACCCAAGAGAAAATAATATTTTTCATGATACATGATCGGTAATTGCAATAGTAATTGATATTGCCTCTTAGAACGAAACGATAATATTTTTAGGCATTAAAGCGCTCCTTTCCATTCTTTACGAAACGTTCGTTTGTCGTTTGATTTCCATATTTATAGATTTTTCAACGAAGCAAAACTCGTGGACCGTATTACGAAACCTATATAATGAACTTATCAGATCGATTGATCGTGATTAGAATGTAATATTTTATGTATAAAACTGAACTTTGAATTATTGTTGGGGTATCATTTTCTTTACGAGTTCAATCTTTTTCCTTTTTTTTTGTTTGTTTGTTTTTTTTTTTATTAATTTTTATCACTTAAATAAGTTAACCGATAAAGTAAATTAAGATCTTTATCCTTTTTTTTTTAAAGAAAGATCCATGATGATTCATTCACTCCTCAGAAAAATTACACCACTTAAAAGATTTAATTAAAAGAAATAGAACATCTTTTATCACTCTCCTTTTACGAGAAAATGTCTTTAACCTTCGAAAGAGAAAAATGGGGGATGAATCACCCTTGGTAAAGGGAAAATTCTAGCTCACGAACTTTTCATCGAGTTCATCGCGCGTTCACGTGTTGCATATTATTACATAAGAATGTAGACCATCACGTATGCAGGCGCAACGCAAAGCAATATGTTACCCTTGTTACCCTTTCTTTCTTCTCTTTTTTTTTTATTCACAGCTCTCCTTTTTCCCCCTTCGAGACAATTTATAAAGGCTTTCGATCGCTCGCGATTAAACTCGATAAACGTATATAAAGTGGAAACTTATCGGAGATAGAAAAAAGGAGGGCAAAAAACAAAATAAACATTACGCGAAATTTAATATTAATAAATGCTGAATTCAAGATATGAGATTCATATTCGATCGATCGAGTAGAGTAGAAGGAAGATTTTTTTTTTTCCTCCTCTTGACGACCAGTCGATCAATTCCTTCACGTGTATCGGTGATATTACGTAAGGACAAAAAAAAAGCCTACATGCACTGTGTAATCTTTTACCCTTACCGCGATATTACCCCTGTCTCCTGTTGCATATCCACAGCGGTGAAACCACAGAAGTGAATATCTCTTGCGATTTATGCGGCATAAAATTACACGTCACGAAAGCTTCGGCTTTAAAGGCTATTTACCCGATTGCATTTTCTTTTTTCCTTTAGCGAGACTGAACGCGTAGAAAACTCTTGACAAGCGTAAACATCGTTGTCGTGTTGGACACGTAGTTTTTATTATACACGAGATTAAATTTTTGATAACGAGGCGATGATCGCGAAACTGATGATTCTAAAAATAAGCAAAAATATGTATGGAATAAAATTTGTTTATACATACGTATGTAAAATAATCTATTTAAGAGAAACCAGTGTTGGATAAATTGTAATTAACTTTCGCGAGGGATTTACTTTTGCATCGTGTTCATTTTCTTCGATCTTTCAATCAAAAATTATAGAAAAAAAAAGCTATAAAAGAAAACGAGAAACGTATATTATGTTGATATAATGCTTGACAGAAACGTAAATTTGTATTCTCGCGTATGCAACAGTGAGTTTATTCAAACTTAACGCGTGTTCACATGTCAGGTGGCAGCTAGTCCTTCCCCCTCCCCCCTCCACTCTCTAATGTATTTTACACGGCCTCCGCCACCTCCTCTTCTTTCAAGGTAAATTGCAAAGGCCGAGGGTGGATGTTTCATGCTATTTATAATGTTTACAGTGGCCGACTCGTTCAGAAGAGAGAGAAGCTATTTTGTGTTATTTACCGGTTGCTTAATTACAGGTTACCGGCAATCGCCCATAGGCGTGGTAATCGACCGAATCGTGGTAACTAGTAAAAATCGACCGATTCGATGGAAAAAGAACAGGGTGTAACCAGGATCATGATAGCGAATTATTGCAAGGGCGCGGTAGGAAACGATTTTGTAATAAACGCGCGTAATTTTTCCGCAAACATTTTCATTGTTTCGACAAGAGGAAGCGTCATTGTCGGTATCGAATCGGTTAATCGTGTTGCAGTTTGCATTTTATCGTCGTTAATTTCGACGTTTAAAAAGAACATTGGAAATTCCTAAAAACAGAAATACAATTGCTCGATTTAATTTTGCGTAATATATATTTTTGTCACAAAGAATTTCTAATCTGACCTCGATGTATTTCAAATCGATCTATCACGTGCATGTAAATGCACTTAAAAAAAAAAAAAAACTAGCCCGTAGCTCGTCATTGGACGTACGATATTGCGCGTGATAATCGAAATTTCTCACCAACTAGTGATATGATGCATAAAAAACATTCACTCGAGTAATAATACTACTACATATAGGCGGTAATCGTATCAGTCGATCAGAGATATTTTAACCACAAAACCATAAGATAGCGTATCGTTTCTTCGTTGCATAGTGTGTAGCCAGACAGAAAGTTATCGATCGATAACTATGTGGCGGGCCACCACATATTCGATACCGTTCAAATTCCAGCCAAGCATATTACGAGGTTGTCTCTTTTGTGCATCCATTCCTCGCTATAAAAGTCCTCAGACATATACCTTTGTTCACCGATCATTAACATCCTTTTGGGAACAAAGAGATCCGATGAACGAAGGGGTCTGTCTCTTCCGTCTGGCGGAATCACGGTTAGTTTGTAATTGTTCCACGTCGCTGTCGTTACGTTCACCCACGCGCACGTATATGCACCTGTGACACGGTGTGCGTACGCATCCGTCACGAAACACGTGCGTATTACTTTTTCGATTTTATCGACCGAAAAAATTCTTCATACAGTTACATAATATTTGTTGATATTCGACGAGTTGTAATACCTATAAAAAGAATAAAGTAAAACAAAAAAAAATTAACTTGGATATTGAATGTTTGATAGTATAAAATAGTTATGGTAACGATTTGAGATTGCGAACCACTGTGTTAAAAGTAACTAGCGGTTTTTCAAGGTTCGATTTGCTCGTAAAGCCTATCGGTTCGTTTGCTATGCGATACACGATTCTCTATTCCTCTTCCCCTTTTCCTCTGTGTTTCATCTTTTGACTCGAGAATGCATAATCGCGCTATGATTCATAATACATTTAAAAACGTACATGCAATCATAATTTAATTTTATTGTATTAACAGTTATAACAGAAGGAATGAAATTAAGTTTATGTAAACTTTAAAAATCTACACTTTTTAAAAGAACTTGTTTGTTTTAATCTAAAATGCTTAGATATATCTAGATGTGTAATCTTGTTCTTAATGCTAATAACTTTTTTGTACAATTATTTTTCATATAATATATTTATGCGTGCAGTATGTTATTTAAAAAAAAATAATATGTATTGAAATTGAAAAGAATTATTTATTTTTATTTATAATATTATAAATAATGAAAAATTTTTACGTTCACTTTAATTCATGAAATTCTAAAGTACTATAGAGGAAAACACAGGAGGAATGCATGTGTAATATATTATTTCAGCTACAACGCAGCATCCTGCATTCTTATGCAATACCTAGTTCATCATAGTGAATCGTGCTTATTTTTCGTAAAAGAATTTATTATTGTCTGCTAATCGGTTTTCCGTGAATTAATTAGATGATATCATTAAATGATATAATTATATAGTGCAATTGCAATGTTGATTAACTTTTTATTTATTAAATAATCTTAACGATTTGAAGTTTTTTACACGAACTTAAAGGTTCATGTATTAAAGAAATATAATTTTTATCAATACTGTACATGCATGCATTTTGTAAAAAGTATTAAAAAATTTGAATTTTATATCTCATAAAATTTAAATATATTAAATAATTAAAAAATGATTTAGGAAAAATTAAATTAACCATATGTTCTCAAGAAAATAAGAATTTTTTTATTAAGAATTTCTAGCAATTAAATTATCTTTCCATTTTTTTGCAATTCGTGTGATTGAAAACTATAGCCGAAAAATTACATCATATACTTGCAATTATAAATAAATATGACTGATTGAGATGGATTAATTAAATTTCGACCAAATGAAAAACGATTAAATCTATAAAGAACTAATTTCATTGATTCTTTGTTTATTTCCTTTTTATTTATTGCCTTTTATGTTTATTATCGGTTAAATCTTGATATTCCCTTTCATTTTTTTGTAATAAAAAAAAATTTTATGAAAATATACTTTAAATATAATATCTATAGATTTTCAGCTATTTAATTTCAAAATGGAAATACAGCATAAGTATTATTTGCTGCTCTTTCTCATTCTAGATATACCAGACATTCCTGAGAACATCAAGAATTTACGGGCACTTCAGGTGGCGGATTTCAGTAGTAATCCCATTCCAAGGTCAATAAATTATTCTTTATTTTATTTTTCTTTATGAAAAATGTTAAAATTTTTTTTAAATATTATTTTTATTAGAAACATTAATTGAAAAATTAAAAAAAAATAAGTTATTTTTAACAGGCTTCCAGCAGGGTTTGTGCAATTAAGAAATTTAACTGTTTTGGGGCTTAATGATATGTCTCTTACGAATTTACCGCCTGATTTCGGAAGGTAATGGTAACAACAACTCACTTTAATTGCTTTCGAACTACTAGAATCGTAAATTATATTATGCCTAGTACTGAAGTTTGTGCATCGATTGTTCTTAGCTTAGAGGCGTTACAATCATTGGAATTAAGGGAAAATTTGCTCAAGTCCTTGCCAGAATCGCTATCCCAACTTTATAAATTGGAACGGCTGGATCTTGGTGACAATGACATTGAAGTCTTAGTAAGATAAATATTAAATAAATCATTTTGAAGGATTATAAATATATTAATTTGGTATTTTTATTTTAGCCAGCACATATAGGAGAATTACCAGCATTACAAGAATTATGGCTGGATCATAATCAATTACAACATTTACCACCAGAAATAGGAGAATTGAAAACGTTAGTATGCCTGGACGTATCTGAAAATCGCTTGGAAGATCTTCCAGAAGAAATAGGAGGTTTGGAATCTTTGACGGATCTGCATTTATCGCAAAATGTTATTGAAAAATTACCCGATGGGCTTGGAGAATTAAAAAAACTTACTATTCTCAAGGTCGATCAAAATAGGCTTTCTACTCTAAATCCAAATATAGGCAGGTGAGATTAATTTTTTTCTCTATAAGAATTTAAATATTTTAGAAAAAAATAAAATTAATGTATTCACTCATTATAGGTGTGAAAATTTACAAGAATTAATTCTTACGGAAAATTTTCTCTTAGAACTGCCTGTATCTATAGGAAAACTTCTTAATTTAAATAATTTGAATGTAGATAGAAATAGTTTGCAATCACTTCCTACGGAAACGGGTAAGAAATATTCTATTTCAAATAATATCAAAAATAAATTTTTTTGAGTTAAAAATACTTATTTTTTTTATAGGAAATTTAAAACAATTGGGTGTACTGTCCTTAAGAGATAATAAATTACAATATCTTCCAATCGAGGTTGGACAATGCACTGCTCTTCATGTATTGGATGTGTCTGGCAATAGGTATGCAATTTTTCTATTTTAAATTTTAAATATAATTTTTGTTTCAATATTTAAAAATATTTAATAAAGAAATTAATTTTTCAGATTACAATACTTGCCATATTCCTTAATTAATTTGAACTTGAAGGCAGTATGGTTAAGTAAAAATCAAGCACAACCAATGCTTACTTTTCAGACAGATGTTGACGAAGAAACTGGACAGGAAGTATTAACCTGTTTCCTTCTACCACAATTAGAAATTCATCCAGATGGTTAGTAGATTAATTGTATCAAATTTGAATTTTTATATATATATATATAAAATATGATGTATTTAGATTCAGGAAGACTTGGTATGCTTGCTGGAATGAGAAATGCTGTTCAAGATGGTGAAATACGTGAACTTGGTAGTAGTGATGATGAAGGATGGCAAGAAAAAGAAGCATCAAGAACGCATTCTGTCAAGTTTACAGATGAACCTCCAGAAACTGATAAGGAGGTGAGCAAATTATATATAACAAAACCTCTTAAATTTTTTAGATTCACCATATCTAAATTCAGATTATTATCAGGATATTTAATGTGTTGGAAACGTTATTATTCTTATGACTCATTATATTAAAATTATAATAAAAAATGAATTAAGAGTGTATTTTTTTCCTAATCATTTTTTTCTTGTAATTATATATAATATAAGATAATTGCACTTATTTCAGACACCTTTTGTACGACAAAATACACCTCATCCTAAAGAATTGAAAGCAAAAGCTCATAAATTATTTAGTAAAGGAAAAAATGATAGTCGTTCAACATCTACAGATGAGCAAGTAATTAATTAATTTTTCAAAAATATTATATACTACAGATTTCTTTTGACTTAAGGAGAAATTAATAATATTTTTAAGGATGTTTCTCAAACATTTGGTTTGGACAAAACTGAAACTGATATTTCAACAAAACCTAACGATTTGACAGCTGATTTGATAGAACAAGAATCATTAAAACATGAATCTGTAGAAAATGAACAAAAGGAAATTGTACCTGGAGTAATAACTGATAATACAGATGTCCAACCTAGTAATGAACCAGAAATAGTTTCTAATCAATATATAACAGAATCTAATACTGTATGTATTTATGATAAATTATTGATTTATTAATTAATTTATTTATTTATGTTTATCTTTATTTTTTATTATAAAAATTATTTTTTAGGACATAAGGACTGAAGGTTCAATATCTGAGTCAAAGGATAGAAATGATAAGGAGGATGATGAATCTGAAAATGAAGAAACACAAAGACATGTAGAATTTTCTATAGCTGAAGGTACAGATTATGATGGTAGTGGTGATTCAAATAGACCAAATAGACTTCATCGTAGAGATACTCCACATCATTTGAAAAACAAACGAATTCACACAGCAGTGGATAAAGAAAAAGTAGCATCCATTATTGCACAAGTAATTATTATCTAAAAATATTTAAGAAATATATTAATATTTATGTAATTGATATCATATAAATATGTGTAGTTAATATGTTTCCAGTTATAATTAATTAAAGACAAATTTTAAACAGTTTTCATTATATATTAGGCACTCATGAAAAAAAATGATGAAATTTCCACATCCACGTCAGCACCTGTAGAAACTACAGAAAATTTTGACGCTCAAAGTCAAGGTAATTTATATTTCAATATCACATCACCACATTTTTTATATCACTTTTAAATCTTTTCTCTAAATATAATATTTTTTTATAACATTTATACATTGCATATAAAATAAAATATTTTAATAATTATTTTTTCGTTATAAATTGTATGATGAATCGTTCTAAACCCTTCGGCATCATTACTTCGTAATCACTAACAGCAAACAATCCATGATAAGATATTTTTTTTTTCATTAGCTATCTTATCATTTATTCAGTTATCTATTTCGATATAACAAGACATGTACATGCGTAAAAAATTTTTAAATTTTAAACATTCAACATCAATTAAAATTAATTAATATTGAATATTATATTAAAAATATAAAAAATATTAAATATGCCCAAAAGATATAGATGTTTTGTAAGAAAAAAAAGAAATGGGAATAAAAGTTGGTAAAATTCAAGTATCTAATTATATATAATAACATATCAATCAAATTTTTAACTACATAGACGCGATTTCAGATACTGAGCCGACAATAGAAGTACGAGAAGAACAATACGAAATTCACATTGAAAGAACGACAGGTGGTCTCGGCTTATCAATAGCTGGTGGTATTGGTTCAACCCCTTTTAAAGGCGACGATGAAGGCATTTTTATTTCCAGAGTCACTGAAGGTACAAATATTATAATTTTATAGTTACAAATAAAAAAATTAAAAATATATAAATTATAAAAATTTTATAATTGTTATATTTATTTATATTTTATTTCATTTATATTATATTTATTTTTATATTCATTTATATTATAATCATTTTGATTTTTTTTTAGGTGGACCTGCAGATTTAGCAGGTTTAAAAGTGGAAGATAAAGTATTATCTGTTAATGGTGTATCAGTAGTAAATGTAGGTCATTATGATGCTGTAGAAGTTTTGAAAGCTTGTGGACGAGTTCTTGTATTAGTAGTTCAAAGAGAAGTTACAAGGATAGTGCCTCCATATGAACAGGTATTATTTTATAAAATTTAAGCAATTTTTTATATTTTTAATATTACTACATTTAGCAGGTATCATCGAGAAAAAACTCAGTATGCTCTAGTTTAAGTACTAGTAGAGCTCCAAGTGCGACATCTCATGTTTCATCTATAGGTTTTTCACATAATTTAGAAAATGGTGATGCTTTATCTCATGATGCTATTAAGGTATATATATATATATATATATTTTTTATATTGAATACCCTAATATATAAAATTAAAATTAAAATATAAAATTTAAAAATAAATATTTTTATTTTTATAAGTGTAAGAAAATTCCTGAACCTATATCTTCAACAAAAGTAGGCAATGAACCAATGGTATCGGTTCTTGTTCACACAACATTAATACGGGACCAAAATGGGCTTGGATTTAGTATTGCTGGTGGAGAAGGTTCTCCACCATTCAAAGACAATAGTGATGTAAGATTTTCAATTTATAAAATTATTTTTTATATCATAATTATTTTGTCGTTAGTTTGTTCATTAATTGTATTTTTTTCTAAATGTTTAGGCGATATATATTTCAAGAATAACAGATGGCGGCGTAGCACAAAAAGATGGTAAATTATTAATTGGAGACAAAGTAATATCTGTAAGTGTAATTTTAATATATTAGAGTTTGACTTATATAATTATGATTTTTTTTTATATATTTTAAAATTCCTTTATAGATTAATGGAGTTGAGATGAGAGGAGCTAAGCATGAGCAAGCAGTTGCTTTATTAACAGGTTTAGAAAGATTTGTTCGATTAGTAGTCGAACGCGAAATACCATTTTCTCAAGCAAATGCAGCTACAGTCGTAACACCTTCAGAAAAATCACCACGAGTGATCGGTGCACCTAAACCATATACAGGATTATATAATGCCAATAGTTATATAGCAAATAAACCGGGATATACTGGATATAGGCGTTCTATAGATGCTGATAGAACATTATCTCCAAGTCCTACTTCGAAAACGCCTCCACCTATGAAAATTGAAACTACTGAGTTACCGAAAATGAATGGTGTTACAGAATCAGGAAATATTAAAAACATTTCTTCGATATCACCAAGTCCAACAAATAGCCAACTACATCCACAACCTGCTCCTAGGCACAGCATTTCGCAACCAACAATTACACCTACAACTACTACGAGTTCAACGCCCACATCTTCTACAGAACCTAGGTCAACCTCACCCCAGGAAGATATACAGGTACCCAAGCCTATCACCAACGAAGAATTTCAGGCTATGATTCCTGCTCATTTCCTTCGTCCTCCTACTTCCTCGCCATCGCCAGATTCCCATCAAGGCCCTATTGTGACAGTGACAATAAAACAGCCTGATAATCTACCTGGAGATGTTAATTTTCCTCCGGCTCCTACAACACTTGGTAAAGTTACTGAGACCATCACAAAGAGCACTCTCACCGAGACCGTCGTAACTAGGGTGACTGAAAATCAATTGGTACCACCAGTAATTATTGAGGTATGTGCTTGGTAGCTAGATGCAATAATTGATTATGTTGCACATACAGTTTAAAGAAAATTATTTAAATTCTTCCTGAAAAAATTTTGTTTATCTTTAATTAACAAGAATGAAGAAGAAGCGAGAAGGAAGATTGAATAATATTTATTTTCTTATTTTTAAATATTAAAATTATATATTTTTATTTTATCTTAGATATGGAATAGTTTGTATTTTTTTAATATTTTAGATAAAAGTTAAGTATTTATTATTTATAATATATTAACTTATTTCCATGCTTGAACGATAATCACAATTTTATTAAATGTTATTTTATATAATTTTTTTATATATATGTTTTAATGTTATAATTTTTTATTCAATACAATCAATTAATTATCTTCGAAATAATTATAATTTGAAAAAGTGATTGAATGGTTTTCTTCCTGTGCATGTTTAATTAAGAAAATAATATTTTATAAATGTATTGTATAAATGTTAACATTTATTATATTATATATTAAAAAAATTTTAATTTTAAAATTAAAATTTTAAACACTATTATAAATATTTATGTTTATATTTTTCATTTTAATAATATTAATTATATTCTTATTTATCGCATGTCTATATATTTGATATTGATTATTATTGATTAATTCAATAATTATTTTTGTATGTGCATTATCAAAACATTTAAAAAATACTTGCTAGCAATTGTTTGTATGGAATGTTATATTACTTTATACTTTGGGTGCTTATTCTCTGGCATGGAAATAGGTAAGTAGTATAAATTATGCTTTTATAAAAGTTAAATCATGTGCATCCTTCACTTTTTCGAAATTCATTTTTTCACGAAATTCCTTTTTGTTTTCAAAACATCCATAATGCCACTTTTATAAAGTAATTTTAAAAATAATGTAATTTAAACAATGATTTTAATAATTAATTTTAATAATTAAAACATTGATTTTTAGGATGTAATTCTTGTAAAAGAAGGATCTCTAGGATTTAGTATTATTGGTGGAACGGATCATTCATGCACTCCATTTGGTGCAAAGGAACCTGGAATTTTTATATCTCATGTAAGTTTCTTAATATTTTTTTTTAATATCGAAAATTTATATAATATATAAATCTTGTTATGTATATATTAGGTCGTGCCTGGTGGTATAGCTGCAAAATCTGGTAAATTAAGAATGGGGGATAGGATACTAAAGGTAAATGGTACTGATGTAACAAAAGCTACTCATCAAGAGGCTGTGATGGAACTTTTGCGACCAGGAGATCAAATAGTGCTTACTGTCCAACACGATCCACTACCCGAAAATTATCAGGTAAATTACTTATAATTTAATTATTATTTGCGCTTGCTAGTTATTGCACAAATTTTTAGCAAAAAATTATTGCTTTTTAATTACAAAATAGCTTTCAAAGTAAAATGCTTATAAAAATCTAATTTCACAAATTTACATTGAATGTTTATTATCACGCTTAATTCTCGAACTCGTAATATTTTAAAATATAAATTTAAGATCAAAAATCAAAACTTTTAACATTCTAATGCATTATATAATCAAGATTAATAAACATATATTTAGTTATATATATATAATATTGTCTATAATTCCATGATAAAATAGAATTAATTCATTTATTAGTATTAAATGCACTATATTTACCAGTGAAATGCTTCTCATCTGCAAAACATGGCACTTAGTGCTGCAATTATAATCATTTCGTTATGCCATTTTTTAATGCTATTATTTATAATTTGTTCTACAAGCTGGTCGAAATAGAGTACATCCCTGTGACAGTAAGTACTCAATTTATTGACCTGTTATTTTTTATTTTGTAATACCATGCTTGTTTTTTTATTAAGGCTGTAAGTCCAGCGCTGAATCACGAGCATTTGCTTTTTTGCTTAGGCTGAGATATTTAGACATAGAATTTAAAATTTATTTTTGTTTGCTTTATATGCTTTATGCTAAATTACAAAATCCAAATGACTTAAATATTTATATAAGTTATATAATTTAATAAATTATTTATATATTTATATTATATTATAAATATATATATATTTATATTATAAATTATTATATATAATATATATTATAAATTATTGCAAACAAAATTCATATTTTTTAATACTAATTCAATATTAATAATTATAAAATATAAAAATTTTTTTTTATAACAAAATAATTATAAAAAACTATATTATTATATTATTAAGAAATAATTTTATATTTTAGGAATTAGTTATTACAAAAGAACCAGGTGAAAAACTGGGCATGCACATTAAAGGTGGACTTCGAGGACAAAAAGGTAATCCACTTGATCATACAGATGAAGGGGTTTTTATATCCAAAATCAACTCAGGTGGTGCAGCTAAAAGAGATGGAAGACTGAAAGTAATTATTTTTAGTATTTACTATAAAGAAACAATTATACTTTGCAATCATTTTATTACCTTTTTAATTTTAGGTTGGAATGAGACTATTAGAAGTTAATGGTACATCATTATTAGGCGCAACTCACCAAGAAGCAGTAAATATATTACGGTGTTCAGGAAATACAATTACGTTGGTGGTTTGTAAAGGATATGACAAGAGTGAAATTGAACCAGTATTACCAATATCTGATGGAAGAGATTCTAAGGAATCTAGAACATCCAAAGAATTAAAGGATACAACAGAAGGTACTAAATCGTTATCACAAAGTATATCCAGTCTAGATCGCGATGATGAAGAAGCAGCAACTCTTAGACAAGAACAAGAAATGAAAGCTGAACTTGTAGCATGGGAACAAGAAGAAAGAGAACGTGCTTTGCTTGAGCATAGAGAAAAATCTACTCCTGAAAAAGTAAGATTAATATTAAAGAAATAGAATATCAAATAATATATCTGGTTGTTATTTCAATATTATCAATATTTTAAATATTTTTAAATCAAACAGGTATTAGATGTAGTAAGAGCAGCTGAATCATTAGTAAGCAAATCAAATAGTCCGGTTGATATGGTCGTACCGCCAAAGTCACCAGGAGGTACGAAAGATCTCAAAACAACTACTATTGTGATGAGCAAACATACTCTAGCACCTCAAAATACAAATGTAAGTATTATAATAGTATAAATATATAATTGGAATATATTATTATATTTGCATGTCTAAACTAATTTATAAGTAATGATTTATTTTTATTAGTTATAATAAAATAATAATAATGTTTCTTTAACAATAACTATAGTTATTATATTTGATTTTAATTTTTTTTATTTCATTTTCAATTTTAAATGTATAATATATTTTTGTAAATAATGAATTTTGCATAGATGCTTAATTTTATATAATTTTTTTTTCTTATTCATCTATGTTTTTTTTATAATAAATTATTTAAAACTTATTTTTGATTTTAAGTTTCATTTACAAATAATGCATGACTTTAACATATTGAAAATCGTATATTTTTTTGGTTTTTCTTTTTCTTATTCTTATCTTTTTGCTTATATATGTATGTGTGTGTGTATGTAAGTACATATGTTCATGAAACTTATACATATGAGTTTTTAACAAAAATATTTCATATTCTATTAATGGCACTGGAACAAAAGGAGGGACACGTTTAAAAATATCAAATTACAAATAATATAAATATAAAACGCAGTTAAAAAAGGAATAATTTATTGAAAAAAAGGAATAATTATTTTCAAAACAGAAAAATTATTATGGTACAATGTGGTATTAATAAAAACGTAAATAATAAAAAATAAAAAACGTTGCTCTTCCCATTGTGTACATTCGTATATATACCATAATAATAGCATAAGCATGGACGTTAGTTTTTATATAAATATTTTATTTTTATTTATTCAAGATTATTAAAGAATTTATAATTATATTTAAATATTTATGTACAATATTATGAAGAATATAAGAAATCATAATTACTAATTCTTAACTATTTATAAAAGAATATTAATTTTTTAATTCTTTTGTCTTTTGAAATAATTATCATTTTATATACAATTTTTCAACTTAATACCATTATAAAATAATTTTATTATTTATCATTATCCATTTATCATAAGTCTTATTATTTATTTTTAATATGTGACGCATGAAATGTACATTGTCAGTGTTATTAGCGTCGCATGCTCTCCTGAGCGGCAAAACAAGAGATGTTTCACATGTTTGCAGACAGTGGAAGGTGATAACGCTACTTTGGCTGCCCTCTAACAGGAGTGAGTCGTTCGACCCTCATTTTCCCTGTGTCTACGTCCATACCTCTGAATTCGCGGGACTGTGCCATAATAAAATTATTCTAAGGAATTCATGTCGTTAACTCGTATAATCATGGTGTTTATTGCGTTTCACTATTGTACAATTTAACTATTGTTACTCCATTTGTTACTGATACTGCCATTATAATATTAAGTATAATTATTGCGAATATCCTGACTGGCTAGGTTGATTCTCTGTGATTGGTTTTTTGTTTTTGTTCAAAAATGAGGTGAAAATTTTAATCATCACGAAAATGTGATATCCTTAACTACAGATTCTTATGTATATATTCATCATTCCTTCGTTCATGAATATCGGTTAAAAGATAAGCATGAAGAGATACTTCTGTGATAGGTAGACAGATGTCATAGATGACAAGAACTTCCCACTATTTAATGAATATTTTTTAGCGATATTTGTACATTGATTCTTAAACTTATTTCATAATTTATATTTTGAAAAATTGAAGACATATATTATATAACTATTACAATTGATTAAGCTTAAAGAAATTAGAGAAACTTTGAATGCTGGGTTAAAAAGTACTGAAAATAAAAAAAGATATAATAACAATAAACAATTTTTATTCTATATGAATAGTAAGTAACAAGTATATTATGTTTATAAATTTTTATAATAATATACTTGAAACTTTAATCTCATACAAAACATAGACATTATCTTCTTTTTGTGATACACAATTTGATAACTAAAGAAAAGAGACTATAAGTATTATCTATTAATAACTTTCAAATATATTTTAATAATTTTATTCCCTTATTTATTTATTTATGTAATAATAAAAAACATTAAAAATTTATTTTATTTTTAACAAATATTTTGATAAAAAATGTGACAATTTTTTTTATATTATTAATGAAATAATTTATATAAAAAGAAAAATTTTACTATTTTTAAAAATAAATTATGATGAATGAAGAATAATTTAGATATATAATTCATAATTCATATTTATGTTTCACTTATTTAAAGGAAATTATATCATTAAAGAGATAAGATAATCAACATGTGTATCACTAAATAGAGAAATATACTCTAAAAATATCATTTTATTTATTTATATTATTATATCATGTATAGATAAAATAAAAAAAAAAAAAGAAAAATGAAATGTCTATTGAGACATAAAATATTATTTGATAAGATATTTTAGCATTTAGCATTTTTTATATGTTTTAAATGCTAACACTTTTAAATGTTTACTTCTACAGTAAACTCATATCATTATTAAAATATAAATCAATGTACTGTATTCTACGAATGTTCTATGAATGTTATATGTTGATATAAATCTAATGGACCAGATGTTTATATATTATTACAAAATATAAAGATAAAATAATATTTATCTAATTATAAAAAAAATTATGTTAATGTTAAAGTTCCAATTGATCTACATAAAAAAGAATAAATACAATGCTTTATTCAAATGTATCAATGCGACAGGTTCTTCTGAAAATAATTATATTTATCTCGTTAGTAGTACAAACTACGAAAAAATATATTTCTCACGTTCATATTTAGTAATGCAAAGATTACAGTTCCTGTTATTGAATTATAATTTGAGATAAAAGTTTCCTAACTATTATTTCAGAATATCTTGTGATGCATTGATATATATGAAAAGGTGGTGAAGAAGGTACAAATGTGAAGTAACTTTATAAAATCGACTTTAATATATTTAAAATCATTGGAAGGGTATAATATAATAATAAATAAAATTATGCGCGAAGCTGCATTAATTGTTGCAATAATAGTACAATTAATATAATATTGAATGTATAGGTGGTAAAAGAAAAAGAATATTGAATGAATAAATTCAAAACTGATTCCTTTTTAATTCTAATATAGATTTTGTATGAGATGTAGTATTGAAAATAAATCTGTTTTTGAAATATAATTACAAATTTTATAAAAAATAAATTTAAAATAAAAGATGGAGAATGTTTTTCGTTTGATATTATAGAAATTACAAAAAAATTTTTATTATTTGAATTATTTTTAAAAAATTAGTTTGTTAGTTGTAGTTTGTTAGATGTATATAATATCTATTGATATTTTTATTCCAATCTAAGTTTCAATAGAAAATTGCATTAATTTTACTAATATAATTCTTCATGTTATTTACTCAGTCACTGAGGAAAGAGAGAACTGGAACATCAGTGGACAATCCATCGCCCAAGTCTCCGGTCTCTACTCTAACTCCATCGATGAATTTCGATCACACTACTGCTGTCCAAAGCTTGCCCTCTCCAAAGAAAAAAAGTTCCATACCAAAACGTAGTATTACATTTGCTGATCTTCCTCCCATTTCTAAAAAACAACCAATTAATTATTCCATTTCGGCGAAAGAAAATCCATCACCTTTGCATGATAGTAAATTTACTTTCGATCCTCAAAGTATTTCTTATAAAAAAGTTTATCAAAATCCTATCCAAACTACTCATTCTCGTTTCAAACTTCCTCCTACACCTTTAACTGCTCCTAAATCTATAGAAGATTATGGTACTTCAGTTTCTTTTGGTAAACGACAGAACGCACGCTCTGTTGATGGGAATAGTCAGGTTGAGGTGGGTTTTGAAAAGCATGTTTAAATAGCACTAATGCACTATTTTCCCTTCTTATTCTTTATTAAGAATGTTGGTGCGTTTAATTCACAAAATTTTATTTCATAATTATAATAATATATAATAACATACATATAAGTAATAAAAATTATTTTGTATTATTTAAATATAAATTAATGTGCATTCTACAAGTTCAAAAATGTATATAGTAGAATTTAAATTATTAAAAAATATATATTATAATTTATATTTCTATATATAGATAAATTATTTCTATAAAAGATTAATATAATGTTTTACAATATAGCTTTCTCCAACAACATCACCAACACCACCTCTAGTAAAGATGTCAGTTAGTGATAAAAAAAAATTATTTGAAAGTGCCATGGAAGAACATTTAAAGCCTTCTCCTAAACCAGGTAAATAGTATTTAAAATATTTATATAAACAATAATATTTTAAATAATGAAATATATTATTTTTTTATATATTTTTCTAGAAAAAGTATTCAGTTTTCTAAGTCAGGATGAAGTTGAGAAAATGAAACAGGAAGAAGGTATAGTACTTCTCAATTATGTTATTAAATTTTTAATTTGTATAATTATTAATTATCATTATATTTATTCAGAAAAGAAAATTGCTACTCTAACGCGAGATGAATTAAAATCGTGGGCACAACTTGATGAAAATGAAGGTTTGGAAGATTTAGAAGAAACATTAGAAGATCAGGATAATCGGCGGCCTAAGTAAGCTACTCGTACTCATTCTATGCATTTGAACGTGTGATTATTCAAACTTTTTTATTTTATTATTTTTTCACTTCTTCATGTCTATATACTGCAATAAGAAAAATGAAAAAGAATTACTGTCTATTAAAAAATTGCATACACAATGCATTAATGAGAATATAATAGTTGCAATATAATATTCTTTTTATTTTTTTAATTTTATATTAATAATATATAATTTCATTTCAATAAACATAATTTTTTAAACATTGCCCACAAAAAATATTTTAGTAATATATTAAATCTTAATAGATTATCTATTGCAAAAGGAATGAGTATTATAATATTTCTCACTGTAGTACATACATGTTTTGTATATAAAAATATATAATCATTTTTTAGTTGTAAACAATAAACATGTTTGTCTACTATACGCGTATTATATAAGATAATTGTTTTTCAAATGAAAAATAATTGTTGTCTATATAATTAACAAATTTTTTACAAGTATTAATTGATAACTTAAAAAATAACACAAAATATTTTTTATGTGTTGTATTTTTATAATAATTAAAAATAATGTTACGATTAAAAAATTTTCGGAAATTTTATATAAAATGAATGGACACTGTGAATATTATTATTTGCGATAAATTTTACATGTATATATAATTTATATTAAATGCTTTTTATCGTAGTTTTATTATATTATTATAAAGTGTGCATGCTTACTATAATTATCGTATAAATAATTTTATTAGCGATTGCTTTTTTTTTATAAAATAACGTAAATTTGTATATAGGCTTATGAATCCACATTCACATGTACTTTGCAATTGAGGTTGTGGTTGTGCTTGCACAGGCATTTATTGCACAATAAAATTACATGTTTTATTCTTTAATAAGACAAGATCATAAGTTTATAAAGATTATGTACATCGAAAATATATATATATATATATATATACATACATACATACATACATACATATATATATAGCTTTTACAAACAAAAACTTCATGCTTTAATATATTTTCTTTACATGCATTGCAAAAATATTTCAAAGATTCTAAAGAATAATTATTGTGTATTTATTTAATGCTAACATTTTCATTTTTACTTGTATTCTTCTGAAATTATTATTATCGCTCAAATGATAATATAAAAATAATTATTTTTAATAATTATTTTTGGAATCTCTTAGCACCGATAATTATATTATTCATAAGTTTACAGTTGTGTGGTGTAGTCATTTTTTTTGTATTGTTATCGTTTGTATATAAGTCATATAATATTTTTTTTTGTCTTTGTACTGAACGTTGCTTTTGTATATTTCTTCTTTCAATGAATAAATATTAAAATTGTAGCACATGTATATGATTTGTCAGTGTGCATGCTCGTTACCTTGCAGTAGCCGACTGAGTTCGCGAACTTCGATCCCTCTTCTGCAAAATCTTCCAAGCAGTGTAAGGACAGCAAAAGCAGAACGCCGCTTGAAAGAAAGACTAATACAGGAGGTATTATTTTTATTAAATATTAAATTTTTTAATCATTCAAATGTTTTCATATATTATAATTATATGTTTTACATTGTTCTAGATGAAATAATCTTTATAAATTTTAATAATCTTTTTAAATGATATCATGATTTAAAATGGTTCATATCAAAATATGAATACAATATTTATATTTTTAATAATATATATTTATATAATTTTTTATTGCGTAGGGTATAATTTCGGATGAAGATGAAGAAAGTCATTTAAGTCCTGCCGAACAGAGAGCATTAAGAGCCGAAAAACGTGCGGCATGGAGACAAGCACGTTTGAAATCTCTGGAACAAGTAATTATTTTAATGCTTTTTTCACATTTAAAAATTCAAATATGAAATAATATTTTATTTACATTTATTAACATCAAATGTTTACATTCAGGATGCTCTTCAAGCACAGATAGTAATTAAAAAAATGAGTGAAATGATGGACACGAATAAATCAAGTTTAATGCAGGATTCTACAGATATTCCTATTACTCCTGTTTCTGAATCGGAAAAGACAACTGATGTAAGCAGTTTGTATTGTTCCTTTAATCTAATCATACTATCAACAAACTAAAATAATAAAAAATCTAACAATGTGTTTAAAACAAATTAACCAGCATTTTGTTATTATATTACTAATTATTTCTTTGCTTACCTGTAGTTCTAACTTAGTGTTCGTATTTACAATGTTATGTTAACTACAGTGGTACCTTCTTTGTCTGTCTTACTATCATAGTTCACTACGTTACGGCCGTCTAGTGCAGATTTTCCCAAACTTGCTGTACGTAGCAAAGTGGGTCCCCCTAAAGAGATACGCGAATCCGAGAAAGTAGTGGACGAGAAGGTCACTCGACGTACTGAGGAATATGTGGATGAGGTGACGGGTGAACGACGTGTGCGAACAGTCGAATACGTCGAGAAACTCATTGAACGACAGGTATTATAAATTCTAGAGTTTGCACAAAATTTAAGCACCAAATATATTATATTCACATCATCAATTAAAGATGTGTTTTGAATAGAGTTTAATTTTTAAACTATTTATATTTACAAACAATGGTATAATAAAACTAATAAAATCATACATAAAGAGAAGTCCAAAATTTTTAATTTGGTACATTCTCATGATCTTTTATAATACTTTAATACTTTAATTAATTAGAATTATAATTAGAAAAAGATTAATTAATTTAAAGTCTAAATAAAGAAAAATAAAGTTTTATTTTTATAATACAGTTACACATATTATGTGATTAATTATATTTTATTTATTTATATGATATGTATATATTTATAATTTGTTATATTTATTATAAATTTAAAATTCTGTATGAATGCGCGTGTATCTATCTATGTATGCATGCATGTTATTCTTAAAATTATTTTGCTTTAATGCACAAAATCTAGTGGAAACACTAGTTCAATGGTTGTGTTTGTTGTTCCAAGAATCCAACACTGACCATGGAAGTACAACCTGCACCACCTTGAGCAATCGATTTTATTTCCACTGATCACTAACAAATTCTTCTCATATTATTGGTAATGCTACTATTGATTTTTCTTATCCATTATTTATTTAGGCATGTATAAAGGTACTTTCCTTTTTGGTGGTATTATTATATATCAATTATTACTAATGTAAAAATATTATATTTAATTCGTTTCTATATCATATAACATATTTATTTATGCATTGTATATTTTTCATAATTTGATTAATAATTAATAATAACGTATAAATGCAAAAATTTATTTGTTCTACTATAACATTTGTGAAATATATATATTTATGTAATTAGGTTGAAACTCTACGAGAAAAGATTATATCATTGGAATTAAGTAATGCAGAAGATGAAATAGAAAGTATTACCGGTACAGGAGCAAGTGATGCTGAAAGCGAAAGCGAAGAAATTACTGTACAGCCTTCTATTATGACTACTTTACAAGAAAGAAATGAAACAATTATATCTACAAGTGCCACTGAAGGTGCCGCACCTAAAATAAGTGCAAATACTGTTCTTGTTACAAAAAAAAAGAACGAAAACGTTCGAAGAAAGGTCGTCATTGATCTTAAATAAAAATTTTGGTGCAAGAAAAAAGACATTAATTTAAAAAAATTGTGAATTTTTTTTGTTATATAATTGTGAAAGTGTGTTCTAATATTGTTCTACTTTTTACATTTCAGAATTCGAATTTTTATTATAGCG